TCTCTGGGCACTACGATTTTATTGTTGGGGATTTAAGATGGCAAGTAGAAGATTTCGACTCCAATATCAATCTATGGCGAATAGAATCGAGTTCAATAAATGGAGTTGCAGAAAGAGGATTAGATATAGAATTTTTGGTTGAAACATATGCCTCTTGAAATTGACGATAGAGTGAATAAAAATTTGGTTGTACGACAAAGAGTGGTGGCTACTGGATCTTTAGGTTTCTGATTTTTGCAGCTATCACAACCTATTTATATCTTAAAACAAGGAACTTATAGATAATGAGTGTCTAATTTTGTGTCTTATTACTTTGATCGAGTCTATTAGTATATTGGAGGTAACTCTAATTTTTCGTTTGCTCTCAAGTTTTGATGGTCCACTCTTAGCTGAGTTGTTAGTATATAGTTAGGGCTGGTATTCGGTAAACCGGTATTCGGTATACCGGGTATCGAACCGGTTATAATCGGTATTCGGTATACCGAATACCGTCGGTATCGGTATTCGGCTGCACTTCTTGGCCAAACGGTATACCGAATACCGACCAGTCATATACCGACGGTAAATCGGAATACCAAATACCGAATAAAAAGGTTTACCGAAGACCCTGTAGTTTATTCCCCACAAGTCCTTTGGTTCTGCTTCTCTGTCTCATAAAATCCTATTAAGCCTTGGAAGTTGAAACCCTTTTTCCCCGGAGACCATTACCATGATAAGTAAAGTGCAGCCGCAGTCCGTCTACCGCCACCTCTGCGGCGCCTTCTATTACTATTCCCCCGCTCATCGTCATCTACGGCAGGGTGGGCATGTTCAAACAAGCACGCAAGCTGTTCGACGAAATGCCCGAACTAAATTGCCCGCAAACCGTTTACTCCTTAAACGCGCTGCTCTCGGCCTGCATCGGTTCGGAGAAGTTTGACCAAATCGACGCCATCGTCAAGGATCTGCCCGCGAAGCTGGGGATTTCTTTTGGATGTGGTGAGTATAACACGAACATGAAAGGGTTCTGCAAGATGGGTGCTTTGGGGCCACAAGAAATGAAGAGCTTGCTTCAGCGGATTGCTGAAGGAAATCGCTCGACTGGTGGCCTAACTTTTGTGGCAAAGGTTTACGGAATTGCAGGTTCGCTTTACAAGCTATATTTATTTCAAATTTTCCAAGAATTGATGATTTGTCATGTTAATGATCCCTGTTCTCTTTTTCAGGTTGTATAAAGTTTCTGGACTCTTATTATTTGATTTTGGTCACCAAGCGTCGGCAAATAGGTTGCATATGTGGCCATGCAATTTATGGTATAGACGAAAGCCAATTGATTACAGTCCCTTATGTTTCTATTCAGACTGATATTGCAAATCAGCCCACTCGGTAGCGGTATTCAGTCGGTATACCGGCTCGAAAAAATAATCTCAATGCATTAACCGGTATTTGGTATACTGGTATTAATACCGGATACCGACTATTCGGTATCCGGTATACCGGATAACATTCGGTATCGGTATTTGGTGGGTACACAATGTTATCCGGTATACCGGATACCGACCGATTACCAGCCCTATTAATATAGTTGACTTAAATCAACAAGACAACAACTCTCCATTTCTTTTTGATTAGTGGTGACATATTTTTCCTAAAAGGAGAGCATTGAACCCTTTATGTAGGATTGTGAGATTGATTTCTATGAGTCGTGTGGGAATTCGAGTGAGATTTTATACTCTATCTTTCTTGACAATCAATTAACCAATAACATTTAAACGAGGTTTAATTATCATTATGAAAATGGAGAGCACTTCTACTATGCTATATAGCATTGGTGTTTTAATGTACAACTTAAAGTTGTACCATAACATTAAATGTATAAGTTTAGGTTGTACCATAAAGCAATTTGTACCATTATGTTATGGTACAACTTTACAACTTGAAGTTGTACCATCACATAAAGGTACAAGTTTAAGTTGTACTATAAAAGAATTTGTACCAAAAGTATAGGTACAATATGAAGTTGTAGCATAACGTAAATGTACAATTTTAAGTTATACCATAAAGGCAAAAACCTATAGCACCAATACTATATAGCATTGTAAAATTTCTCGAAAATGGAATCAATGATACATTTTTATATTTCATATTCTTAAATGATTGTGATGTTTCTCTTAATGTTTGATCTATATATTATTTCTTTATGTGTCATTTCGATCGAAGGATTGTTAATAAAATTAAACAAGTAGACAGACTTAAACGTAACATAAAATATAAATAATCAAATATGAATATTCCGGCCAAGAGGCCGGGTTATAAGCTAGTTATAAAAAAACAAAACTATACCATTTATGTGGAGAGCCCCTTTGAATTCAAACTCGATTGATAAAACAAACCAATGAAAAATTGCACAAATAAAAACCCCAAATCTAGGACAGTACGACAGAGAGGAGCGTTGACGGAGGTAAGCGGCTAGCGAGAGAGGAGTGACAGAGAGTCGCGGAAGTGAGAGAGATCTCGACGATGGTAGGAGGGAGCAAGAGAGAGGAGCGTTGCTGAACCAGAGCGGGAGAGGAGCGTCGTGCAAGGTGTTGTTGGCGACGGAGAATGGGGTTGCAGTAGGTTTTGGGTATAATATATAAAAATTATTTTTAAAGGGTTGGGGTCTCTGACTGTGGAACTCCCCTGCGCAAAATCTAGTCTTTCCTTCCATTCCAGATTCCACAGTCGTTGAATTGGCTACCTAACAGTGGATTTTGACGGATCACCATGAGATATTCAGGCTGCTCGTTTGGTGTCCAGGAAGCTCCAAATCAATGATCCAACGCATTCACGATGCTTAGAAACACTTCTACTTTCATCTCCAACTCCTACCTTTCCTCGGATATCTCCCAAACAAAACAAGTAAGCCTCCAAAGTAGGTACTACAAACTGTTTCCCAGACTTAGCCAAATTTTCAGCTTCTTCCTCCTTGCCTTGGTTTCTTATTTGAACATCAATGAAAATGGTTTTGAATCACAATCCACGATAACATAAAAAGAGAGATTCACTTATAAGCTAATATTCGAGTTGGCTCGCTGGCCACTTTAACGAGCCGCTAATGAGCTCAAAACGAGTTAGTTAATGATTTGTACTCAACAGGCCACCGAATCGAGCTGGCTCGCAAAATAAACAAGGTTAATCTCTAATTTAACTCATAACATATTAAATTTTGAATAGACATTTTTCAAATCCAACGGGAAACCGCTCATTAGCGGTTCGACTCATTTACAAATTACAACCTCTTATTTGGTACATGTTGATTATGAAATTGGTTGATTGGGCTAGACCGTGAGCACACTTAACGTGCCCAGAAATTGTGTTTGTTTGAGGGTTTTTTCCATAACTATTGTAATTTAAAAAAAAAATACCCGAAATACAGTGACTGGAAAAATAATTCCCAATCTACTGCGTCTCTGAATAACGCAACGGGAAGTTTCCAACGGGCAAAACAAACGGAAACAAGCCTCTAACGGGCAAATTTGGGGAAAACAGCTATTTTCTATTGCCTATATAAAGGAGGTCATTTTGCTAATGAATTGCCACACATTCTTTCACCATTTTTTACTATCATCTCCTACTAAAACTATTCACCACCGTGAACAAAGTCATTGTCATAGCTCAACCATTTGAGAGATTATGGCTAATGCAAGGTATTTCTATTAACCTTTGTTTCTTTCTACTTTAGTAAATTTTATTTTAGTAGATTGAATTGTATGTGCCAATTAGTTATATAGTTAATTTAATTGTTCTATATATTTTTTCTTCTTCTTGTGTGTAGAGCCTTTAAACTTGTTGTTTGGTGGGGAATTGAAAAAGAAGAGAGAAGGTTGGGGTTGAAGAGCATCAATGGGGTTTTCAAAGGAATTCGCGCATTGCCTATTTCTGCCCTAGTGCAACATACTTTTTGGAGACTTGTGAAGAATTTTGATGATCGAAGGTTGGAGATTGAAGCACAAATCAGAGGAGGCAAGTCCTACTCCAAGAAATGTGAGGAGTTCATGAAGAGCTAGTCGGAGAAGGCAGTTGGGCATTCTGTTAGTGCGTATAATCGATCCGAAGGACGGTACGAGGTCAGGACCCCACCCAACAACCGTACGATGACAGGTGGGAATGTGCTAGAGGTGGAGTTTGACTATGATGGGCGGGTTGGAAGATGTAGTTGTGGAAAGTTCCAAGGAATCAAAATTCCTTGCTCTCGTGCCATAGCTTCCTGCACCGTAATGTCAGCCAATCCATATAGGTTTGTTAGCGACATTTACAAGCTGGATACAGTTTATGCGTGCTATGGAGCAAGTTTCGTATCTCTCAGTGATCCTAGATGTTGGGCGAAGCATGATGGCGATGTACTACATGGGAACATACACATGGTTTGTGGTAAAGGAAGACCTCAGACAAAAAGAATTCATAACGAGATGGACTGGGTGCGTGAAAGAGGTAAGAGTGTTCTCCTGTGTACCAAATGTAACCAACAAGGTCATAATGGCAAAACTTGTCGCAGAGTCCAATCAAGTAGTATGCATTAGTTTGTGTTCACGTACAATGTAATGATTATATTTGAGTAATGGAATGTTCTTTATTAATTGTCCAAGTACATAAATAAAAACATCACATAATAATTATCCAATCACATATATAAATAAACATCACATAATAATTGTTCAAGTACATAGGTAAATTAACCAAACATCGCATAATAATTGTCCAAGTACATATATAAATAAAAACATCACATAATAATTGTCCAAGTACATAGGTAAATAAAAAAAACATAAAATAAATAACTAACGACGTCGCTGCTGTGGAGGTACCAAACATCCTCCGGTACCACACTCACGTCCACGAAGTACGCGTGAAGGTCTCAGCTGACCACCTGCATCAGCAACAGGCTCATCATCCTCCTCCTCCTCGTCCTCCTGCCTATACTGCTGATGATCATGAAGCCTAAATGCTGAACCTTGTGTAGTATGTAACCGATCCAGATCCTATGAGTCCATTGAAGATCCTCCAACTATTGGTGATGTCATGCGACTACCCCGGAGAATGGCATCGGCAGGTGTACGAAACTGATCATCTCTGCTATAGTGTCGAGAAGAAGTCTGCTCTGCTTGAGACTGCTGTGTCGGAAATAAGCCAGGTGTAGGAACGAAGCGTGTCGATGGCTCTGGGTCATCCCTATAAGCCTGCTGACGTGCATAATGTGGCCGGTAAGGTGGTGGTGACGAACGCTCTGGCTGAGTGGTATGTCTAGTCTGTGTGCTCTGTGTAGTCTGTGTCTGCTGCTGTGACAAGCGGAATGGTCTAGGCACGTCACTATACAAAGTTCGCTGGCGAGTGCGACGCTGTGGAAAGAATGGGGCCCGTGATATCCTCCATGGTGGTGATGGGTCAGTCCGCTCAGGCCACGGTGTAACACTGGGCCCAGGAAAAGCACGTCTAATAGGAACTGAGGGATCCATAATAAGGTGCTCCGCATACCCAAATCCAATAGCTGCTGAAAGGAGCTCATCACGTGTCTTCTCCCTCTCTTCGTCAGTGAGGCGACCCTGCCCTAATCTCATAGCCACACGCTCTACAGTGTCAAGCTGAAACATTATGGTTATGAAAAATATGTGTTAAAATCAATATGTCTAGATAGTAAGAGTTACTAAAAATAAAGAGAGACAAACTAACCATGGCTCGTGCAGCTGTGCCACGCCGTGAGACAGTACGTCTAGTCATATCGTGGTACCACTCCATGTACTCCGAGTGGTCTGATAAAGCCTCATCGCAAAGGATCGTACTCGCCACATACATAGCTCGTCTATCCCACAACTCGATCGTCTCTCGATACGTGGTGCACAAGTCGGCGCCTAATGGTACTCCTCGCTGGTCCTGACGAAGCAACCACAGTATCTCCTTTGAGCTCTCTGGTTTATGGGGTATGTTCTGATCCATGCCAAACTAACGTAACGTACGATCTGGATGGTGCCAGACCACTGCTCGAAAACAAAGCAGTGGAACCACAGCTCGAAAGGTCGCCGACTCTTGTACACAAGCTGCAATATCTGGATCTCTCTCCAGATAAGGACGCCACTACATCCAAAGTCCAAACATGATCAATGAAAAATATTCTAATTAGTATTACAATTTAGTCTAAACCACTGCATGTAGTCTGTGTGAGCCCGATGTAGGTGGGGCAACCACCTCGCAGCACGTGGATGTGAATCCTCCGTGACAGGCTGCCAGTTGCGTGTATCTAAAGGGGCGAGGGCTGGAAATCGCTCCCACACCCATGTAGCTATCAAGTCGGTCCAACCTCCAAGATCACCTCCCATAGTCGGTGCAGATGTCATCCTCAAAGTGGTCCTACCAAGCTCTCGATATAAGTATGCTAATACAGCTGCGCCCCATGCATAGCCTCCTGCACGTGCCCAATCCTCAAGAAGTAGACCATACATAAGATGCATCTCAGCTCCAGATCGATCAGGAAACATCACTCCTCCTAAAAGCAGCATGCAATATGCTCGCGCATACTGACTACTAGTATGATCTGAAGCTTCCTCTAACAATGTAGTGAATGCGTCTCTAAGCCAAGAGTACTTAACACGTCCAATCGCAAGATCTGATCGCTGCTCTACAGGAGGAAGTTTCCCAAGTAGACTCATGCATATATCATCCCATGATGAGTTTGGAATATCTAGGATCACAGCATGTCCGTCGACTGATAGTCCTGTAAGCACGGCAACATCCTCCAAAGTAATGGTACACTCGCCACAAGGGAGGTGAAAAGTGGAGGTCTCTGGTCGCCAATGCTCCACTACTGCCGTGATCAAGTCAGAATCACCATGCAACGGGGCAAGCTCCATAACAGTATACAATCCAGCAGCCCGAATGTATGGTTCATAAACTCCGTAATACTTGCCTAATATAGATGTACCTCGAGTCTTATATGGACGAACCAAAGCCTATATTCATCATCATGTAACCATTTAACCAAAATAACCATTTAACCAAAATAAGTATATCACACTATAACTCACTGTAACTTTACTGTAAATCTAGAATATTCATAACCACTAATAAAATATTATGCTAATCCATGCTAACTCATACGAAATTTAATAACTTATAATTCAAAAGCACCTATATAGATAAAAACTATAAACTTAAACAATTCATAGCCACTAATGAGTACTTTTCCCTAATCCATACTAATTCAAACTAAATTAAATAACTTATAATTCACAAATTAAAGTACATACCTCATTTGCCCAAACCAAATCGGCTCAATGTTCACCATCCGCCCATAATAATCCATTCTCTAATGGAGTCGGATTTAACGTTCTTGGTGGCAGCATCAAAGCATATTGATCATAAACAATAGGAGCTACAATTAACGCACAAAACATAATTAAAAATATATTTAAGAACCATGCCGGAGACTCGCGCCGGTAACCGGGAACTCGCCGCCGGTAACCGGAACTCGCCGCCGGCAATAAATAAAAGGAGATTGGCGGCGGGACTCACGGCGAGCTACTGATCGCCGACCGCCACCTCTGCCTCTGCCTCTCCTTCGGCCACCACGGTCCGGATTCTCGACATGGCCCTCCACCATCATCAAGATCTTCGCCTTCCATGGCCGGCGAAATGAAAAAGGAGAGTTGGAGAAGTCGATTTCCGACGAAGTTTGGGTGGTTGATGAATTTCCGGCGGGTTTGGGTGGTTGATGGCGAGGAAGCGAGTTCCGGCAACTTTAGAGGGAAGTGTTGGGAGATCTGGAGGAAGAAGACGATACAGAGAACTTATAAGACATCTGGGCCGAATTGGGGCGGCAATAAGACCAATTGAGGCGTGCGCGCCCAAATTGGTCTTATTGCCGCCCCAATTGGGCTTTTGGTAGCTGTAGTATTAAATTCGGGCGCTCACACCCGAATTCATTTTTCTGAGTCGAATTGGGGCGCGGGTCTATTTGGGGCGTCCGCGCCCCAATTCATCTTTATAGACAGTAGATTGGGAATTATTTTTCCAGTCACTGTATTTCGGGTTTTTTTTTTTAAATTACAATATTTATGTAAAAAACCCTTTGTTTGACGGGCGGGATTCGCGTACTTCATAATTCACGCCGTGATATTTGTCTTCCCAATTTTCTTTTTATTTTCTTCAATCCACGAGGAAAGAGCGGACTGCGGAGTGCGGAGAGACCGAAATCTCAGACAGGCGAATAACGACAGCTCAGCCACCGCTATAGCAATTTCCCCTCTCTATATTCCATTTTTCAAAATTATATCTCGCCCGAAACAATTTCCCCTCTCTCTATTTCTCCGCCATCTACCAAAATACAATTTCCCTCCCAAAATTGTCCGTACTCCCGCCCCAAAGCCTCACCGGCAGAGCTCTGTTCGACGGAGGGGAAAATGGAAGAAGCACAAGGCGAGGTTGTTGCAACGGAGCAGAGCAAGATGAAGAGTAGCAAGCAGCGGAGGAACGTCATTGCTTTCACCGGCGGCGCGGCGGTTCTCGTCCTCGCTGCAAACTTGGCAATCTACGCCTTCAGTTCCCACCGGAAGAGAAAGTCCGATAAGAAAGGTACTACTCTTTCGCTTCTTCAATTGCATTTTTGCTCGAGCTCGAAACTGCGTTCTGCTTCCGTCTTCTTTGTCGAGCTATGACTGTCATTGAGTTTTGAGGTTCAAGAAGAAGTGAGAGAAGTCTCATTTTCGGCTTGTTTAGGTCTTCAAGGCTCCAGCGTTCGAATTAATCTGTCTGCGTCGGAGATTCTCAAATTGGCTGATCGAATCGTCGCGAAGTCGAAGCAAGTTCACGATGCAGTGGCTTCAGTGCCTCTTGACAAGGTATTCTTGCTTTGCTGCTCGGTTTCTTGAGTTTCTTCGGTAGTGGTGTGGATTGTTGGAATGAGGCTCGTCTGCTCCATTGTTGACTTATTGCATTGTGAACTGGCTCTATGCAAACACGCAGGTCACGTATGAAAACAGTATCTCGCTGATGGCGGATTTGGAGGCGGAGCAATTTGCTTTGATTCAGTCTTGTCTATTTCCTAAGTTTGTATCTGATTCCGAGGATGTCCGGAAAGCAAGCGTTGAAGCAGAGCGGAGAATCGATGCACATGTTCTGGCTTGCAGGTGCTAGTTCTGTGTTCTACTCCTAGTCTAGTAATGCTGATTTCATCTCACATTTCAAAGTTTAGACGTGCTATTGTTGTGCTTCAATAGAGCAACTTTGGTCTTAAATTGGAGTGAATATGTGGAAGTTCTTTGGGGAAGCTGTGTTATATTTGCTAGGTTCACGGCTATGATCAGAATGGAAATATCATAAATCTGGAGTCTATTGAAACCAGCTTGTTACAATCTTCTTTGTTGATGTGGTACCTAAGGCTGACTGGTAGAATGCATTAGTAGCATGCTTTTCTTGTCCAACTTGCCATAGATTTTGCTTCATCTTAAGAAACGAGCTGTTTCTTGAGTTGAGTCTGTAATTGCAATTCCATATAGACATTCTAACCTTCTTCTATGTTGTGCAATCTATCCAGTAAAAGAGAAGACTTGTACCGAGTAGTTAAAGCTTTTTCGGTGAAGGGAGATTGGACCAACCCGGAAGCTAAACAATACATTAAGTGCCTGGTAAGGAAAGTTACATATTTGGACATGCTTTGTTACTTAATATCTTAAGTTAAAGGTTTGTATTTGGATGGTGTATATCTCTATTGATGAAACTTTGAATTGGAAACTTGTAGTTTCTGTAATGAATCAGTAACAATAGGGTCCTTGTTTTGTGAAAGACTGAAACCATTGTTTGGTAATTATCTGGGTTCGGAAGTTTCCAATGAATATGCTGGCCTTTTAGATTTCATATTCGGTGTTTTCTAAAGATACCTCATATGTCAATTAGTTATTCAATTCAGGTTGTTGATTATTTTCTTAACCAGTGACAGGTTAGAGAATTTGAGCGCAATGGTTTGAATCTCACAGTCAGCAAAAGAGATGAAGTCCAGCGGTTGAGAGCTAAAATAGATGAACTAAGCTTGCGGTATATACAGAATCTACATGATGATGAGACATATCTTCTTTTCAGCGAGACGGAACTAGAAGGATTGCCGTCTGAGTACTGTAAGGCAAGTTCTTAATCTATCTTCATGTTCCTTTCTTTTCCCCCTAGATTCTTCTTTTGCTGAAATATTTTCCCCTATGGTTTAAGCAAGTGACTGTACAGAAACTGGAGCATTAACAGCTCTCTTAGTCTTACTTTCCTGAGGTTTATTGCTCCAGTTTCTTACATGACAGAAGCATAAAGTGCAACTTTCTCTGCACTTGTCTGTATGAATTTGAAATTTGGCATATCCACTATTGTTTTGCATCATTTGATGTTCCATTGCAGAGCTTAGAAAAGGACGCGGGCAGAAAATATAAGATTTATATGAGAAGCAATCATATTGTTGCAGTGCTGGAACTTTGCAAGGTATGCTCCTCTGATGCCACATATTTTCTTAGATGTTAGCTTCCTTGTTTGTTAAAAAAGCAAAAACGGAAAGGAGTTTCCTTGTCAACTTTCAAATATCAGGAAGTTGGCTTGGGCTTTGGCTACTGAAGCAAGTACATACTGCTGTTTCCAGATCAGGGAAATCCTGATTCAAAGTTCAAATAGTTCGTTCAGTTAATAGAACATGACTTTAGTTTTGCTATATTTTAAGCTCTGATCATTCTATAACTAAGTTCTGATTGTAAACCTGACTCTGTATAACTAAGCTCATCTTTCTAAATATTTGCAGGTAGGACAAACAAGGAAGAGAGTTGCGGTGGCGTATGGGAAGAGGTGTGGGCAGGTCAATTTTTCTGTGTTGGAAAGTTTGGTAGGTACTTGGACGTTTTCCCTTCAAAGCTATTGACTCTTGTATAATTTGAAGTTAAGTCTCCATAGTTTCCTATGATGATATGGTCAAATTTTATTACATTGTCCCTAACAGCAATGCATTTATTGAAACTTGTTTGGGTTCCATTTTAAATGGGAAGTAGCTAACATTACCTACATGGTATCTGTTAACTATAGTCTATTACTTTCCCTTTCATCATATATAAACAAAGAAAGAACATACAGAATAAAGTGGCATTAAGGTTTAAGAGGCATGGAGGAATGGATTAAAGGCAATCGTAAGGAACATAGTAAAACATTCCAAGTTGGTGGCATGGATTAAAGGCAATCGTAATTTGACAGAGGTTCTTGGAACTCAACAAGGAAACACATCCTTTTGTTTTTTATTGGAGGACAATGCAGCTTTGATTTGTTCATCATTCTTTTTTATTTTGTGGTGGGAATCACTCTTAAATTGATACCTACTGATGGTACTTCAAAATGATATGAGGAACTATGCGAAGCAGGTTATTTTTTCTTAATGTAATTATGATGAAGAGAATATCTGCTTTTGTGTTTCAGGTTGAACAGCGGCACAAATATGCTCGCTTACTTGGCTACTTGAACTTTGCAGAATTTGCTCTTGATCTTAGGATGGCAAAGACATCCGCAAAGGTCTGCATAGATTGTTTTATACACTTCTGTTGACATTTACCAATGGGTAAAAGTTGGGGTACAAGTGAGATTATTTGTTATAACCTATCTTTCGGTTTTAAAAAATGGCTTGTGAACATTTGCTTTGTCATTTAGAAAACCTCGTCTAAAAAAACCGGTCTTTCAGTTTATTAACTGATGTTTTTCATTCAGTTTTATAGCTGGTGTTTTTCATTCATTTGAGACGGTGAGATATCTTTCACAAGTATAGGACATGCTGGTCATTTTATGATACCTGGATTCTGTGGCTTGCTTGTATACCGATATTTTTAGATGAAAGATCTTATCCTTTCTAAATATGTTATTTATGTTACTGGCGTGTGCTTAAATTACTATTCCTCCTGTCCATAGCACTTCACTTGATGCTTGCTCACTCCTTTTGTTTAAGGTATTTGATTTCTTGGAAGATATCTCTGGCAGTTTGACACATTTGGCAACTAGGGAACTCTCCATTCTGAAGGACATAAAGGTGAGCAGTGTTCGCCCAATTTTGTCTGTATGCTTATCTTCTACTTAATTTTGATTTCGTTATATTTTTGTCGTTTGCACCATATTGACGGACCAGAAGAATGAGGACGGAGATCTCCCATTTGGAATTGAGGATCTATTGTATTATATCAAGAGGTCCGAGGCAAAGCACTTTGACCTAGACTTCAAAGCTCTAAAACAGTTCTTTCCTGTGGATTTGGTACTATCTGGCATCTTCAAAGTAATCCAAGATCTCTTTGGTACCCATATTCGCAAGCAAAACTTAATCTATTTGTTTTTGTCAAGCCTATGTATGATGTCCAGCCAAATAAGTTAATTTGCCTAAAACAGCTACAATTTCTTGACTGTATACAGGATTAAGATTTGAGGAAATTGGGAATGTTGAGGTTTGGCATCCAGATGTTAGTGTCTTTTCAGCCTTTGACTTGACTTCTGGGGAATTACTGGGGCATTTGTATCTTGATCTGTACACAAGGTTTGCTTTTCCGTTTTAATATATTGCAATGGCCATTTGACTTTTTGCAAGTGTTCTTGAAGCATCACTTAATGGTTTTTGCATACAGGGAAGGAAAATATGGTCATACATGTGTTTTGGCGCTTCAAAATAGTGCATTATCACAGGATGGGACTCGACAGGTAACTTATAAGTCTGTAACCCTAACTCTCAAAATTTGTATTAGGAGCTTGTCTGATTATTCTGATTCCGTAGTGTGCTTAGAAGTCTGTTTTTGTCTCCAGATAGCTATGGCATTACTCATATCTCGTTTGCAGAAGGGAAAAGAAGGGAATCCTTGTTTGTTGAGGTTTTCCGAAGTAGTTAGTCTCTTCCATGAATTCGGGCACGTGGTATGTTCTCTACATCAAGTCAAGTCATATAGGTTGAAACAATTCAGATGAGTTTGACATGGTTGGCTTATGGTTGTACGTAGGTCCAAAATATCTGCAACCGCGCATCATATACCAGGTTCTCTGGTATGCGTGTTGATCCTGATTTTGTCGAGATCCCTGCTCTGTTGATGGAGAACTGGTAATGATTTCAAATGTCTGTTCAATTTTGTCTTGATTTGTGAGATGATAATTGTACCTCATATTATTTGCCTGATGTTTTAGGTGCTATGAGAGCTCCATATTGAAGTTGATATCTGGGTTCCATCAGGTAAATCCAATCTTTTATTTATCTAATCTTGCATATGCAATGGTCTAATCATGCCGTGTTGAAAGACAATTACTATGTTCTTAGATGCTCTTGGTATATGCGAACATAGTTTTATGGCTTGATGTTACTTCTGTAGGATATCACAATGCCGATCAAGGACGAAACTTGCAAGTCCCTGAAAAGATGGCGGTACTCATTTTCTTCTCTTAAATTGAAGCAGGAGATTCTTTATTGTAAGTCCTAATATCTACCCGTATCAATCTGTTTTGGTTTGTTTGTCTTCCTCTGATGCCCCCATGCTATTTCTCGATGCTAATATCTGGTTTTTATGCTTAACATGAATCGAAACTTGCATCTCAGGTCTTTTTGATCAAATCGTACATTCTGCTGATAATGTGGACATTGTCGAGTTATACAAGCATCTTCATCTAAAGGTAAATGGACTACCTGCTGCTGGAAGTTATTTCACATGCAATGATAGTAATACAAGAGCAATAACGTTCAATCTGGACTGTGACGCACAATCCCTCATCCAAACGAGCTATAACTTCTTTTCTTCTCCTTGCAGGTCATGTTAGGGCTGCCAATGTTGGAAGGCACCAACCCAGCTTCGTGTTTCCCTCGTAGTGCCATAGGTTATGAAGCAGCGTGCTACAGTCGAATATGGAGCGAGGTCTAACTCAAGTCTCTCCAACATAACCTGATAAAGAAGTCCAGAAATTTCTTCAACTTCCTTCCCTCCACTTCATCTAATCACACTTCCTTGTCACCCCATTCCCAGGTGTTTGCAGCTGATATCTTCGCGTCCAAGTTTCGTGGCAATCTCTTGAACCACCAAGTCGGCATTCAGTTCCGGAACCAGGTCTGGTGTTTCCCGAAATCCCTTCTCTCCACTTAGCTTCTCGCCATTGCACGTTGCCAGGTTAGTTGAGTCTATTTCTTTTTGCCATTTTTCCAGGTATTAGCCCCTGGAGGAGCGAAAGAGCCCATTGAACTCTTAACCGAGTTTCTCGGCAGAGAACCCTCCGTTCAAGCCTTCATAGACAGCCAATCTCAACACTAAACGGGGAAAAAAAATCGCCAGAAAAGTGAACGTTTTCCGGTTGACTAATTCAGTCTACTCCATCGTACGTTCTTTTAACCCCACTTTCGTAGTTCGTCCGTTGGGTTGGCGGGTTCCATGTTCTATCATCATTGTTCAGTTTCTTTTACCCTTCACAAACACGCTAGGTATCAAAGGCGGAAAAGAAGAAGAAAAACAAAACGGAAAATGAAGAATCATTTTTTCCCTTTTGTGGGGTCAAAAGAACATGTTCTTATTCTTCTTCCTGTTGTTGCTTTAATTCAACTTCTCTTTCCTTCTGTTCTCAGTGTTTAGCTCGGTTATAAACTTAAATCTCAAAGGTAGAGTGCTTTAGCTGGCGAAATCTCATTCATTTTCGATCCATCAATTGAGAACGCGTAAGAGTGTCATTGCAATCAAGAACTCTTTCATTACACGATAGTCTTCCGTCTTCTAAATGTTATTGTCCATTATAATTCATAGAAGTTAGCGGTGTGATAATTCAATCAACACTGCGAAGTGCGAAGTTTCCAGAAACACCTCTCCTCCTAATCCTATTTTGTTCACATTTTCGACGAATTAACAAAAAAACGTGTCACCATGTTGATCAGTTTAGACTACGTACTTACAAGTTTCAACAACCTAATTATATGTCGTTTATTGGGCTGTTTTGTGAATAGACAGACTATGAATGTTATTAAAAGTCGGAAAGATTCTGCCGAATAATGCAAAACGAGTGAGGTCAGATCAAGACAAAAATACAATATTAATGTATGATTAAGCTTTGAAAAATAAGATATATAGGTAGATAAGAATACTGATGATGTTTCCATTTCCCTTTAATTAAGTTAACATCATGCAAACGTGGCCAATAATGCATTACATGGGACTGATTTTCCTGTGTGGGGACTTCATATGGCTGGCTTTTTTTTATATATATATTAGTATTTGTTAGAATGTATTGGGAAATTGACAAACTAAGAAACATACATATTTATTTAGTTCATTAACACTATGTATTAACTAGTCCACAAATAGAAAAAAGTCGGTTTCACTGTATTTGAAGATATTCATAATCTCTTCTCCGAATGACCTAATGTATTAAATCGTGTATAAACCAATACACCGTGATTTTCAATCGAAGTCAGATTTTTTTTTCAAGTTATAACATCAATATTATTAGTATATAGATAATAGATAGAGAGATTGTGCTGCCATGTTGGTATCGGTCTCCATTTTTGACTTGGAAGGATCGGAGAATGAGTCTAGGAAGAGCCCGTCAATGAAGAAAAGTTTGATGGGCTAGCATAGAAGCAGCATTGATTGGACTATGGAAATTCAGGTGGGAAAATTAGGAACATGGCAAGGAAAAAGCCTTTATTAATCTCAAGTACAAAGTACATTTACAAAGTCTAGTTTTTTTTTAATTAATTAATTTATTTCCTTACAAAATTAGAAAGATTGAGAATTACAGCATTGCATGATTACTGACGTCAGCCAACGGCCAGATGGGCTTGCTTAAACATCAATGGGTCTGTAAACCATGCTCCACGAAGCACGACAGCGGGAGGTATTGTTCGAGGAGATGATGGACGCTTTCTTAGAGCGTATACAGTGAACCTTGCGGGAGAATCTATCACCCATGCAAAACTAGCAGCCATAATGCACGGTCTTAAGATCACTTGGGATCTCGGGATTAGGAAGGTTGTTATTCAAACTGACTCGCAAACAGCGACCAGTCTCATCCAGTTAGCATCACCATCAAATCCGCATGCAGTTCTCATTGTGGAATTCAATCGACTTCTGGCTCTACAGTGGCAGGTGCGCCTTGAGCATACTTATCGGGAAGGAAACTTTGTCGCGGACTTCCTTGCGTCTTTGGGTCACTCTCTAGCTGTTAGGGAACATGTGTTTACGTCCCCTTTTCCTTTGCTGAACTTTTGGTTGTACTATGATCTTATTGGGGTCTCGACCCCTCGAGTGGTTTAATCTTACAGATTGGAGTGCCCTTTAGCGCTCCGTTTCTGACAAAAAAAAGATTGATAATTCAATTATCATGGTAAAATTGACATTTTTATGTATGAATCAAATAAGATTAAGAAATTTTAATTATGACATGTGCAAGTCGATAATGATAAATGAATACCTTAACTGTCTATAACGTGCAATCTTATAGTTGATTGGTGGTCTTGGTGAACAAACTAGTGAATGAGCGAGAACTAAGACCGCATGGGTTCCCAATATTGCCTAGCTCAGTAGCTCTAGATTTTAGTGATAGTTCTACATTCAAGGTTGATATCCAAGGCCTTAATGAAATTATCATCGTTGCAAATGACAAGCTCATGCCTCATGGTTTGTGAAACCATATCGAAGATAATGTCGAACTAAGTGGAATGATAGTATAATCGTGTTTCAATGAGTAGCATATCGGTTAATGTCGTCATTAATATAAAATGAAAACAAAATTATATATTCATCTGACATCATATCAAAATATAACACCAACCAAAGTGGAATCGTATTACTTACTGCAAGTTGTCAATTTAACTGCTTAAAACCAACTAAACGAAAAAATTTCTTAATAATTATGTATTTTTTTATGGGAGCGAATACTGTACAAAACCCCAACCTGCTAAACCCTATCATAACATCGTATCTATCAGTGTATCACACAAGTAGTGACACAATGATACGATCAGAGTTTTGTAGGGATTTGCAGGGAAAGGGTTTCATAACAGAATCCAGACTTTTTTATGGGCAATTTATGTATTTTTGGGTACTAATTAAGAAGATGGTTTGCTTAAAGTATGCTTATTATTGTTGTTGTATTGTATGCATTCTATTCATAACAAAACTCTTGCTAAGTCTTCTATGTCAAATTTTCCTCCAGCCTTCAAACTTTTACCAAGTGACCACAACGACGGCCAGTAGTCAATTAATCAAGAAGAAAACCCAAAACCCAATAATCAAAGGAAAAGAGAAAACAATTAATTTTCTTCGTCACCAATCACCCAAAATTTCAGACGGGAAATACGAGAAGAAAGCAGGGGAGCAGAAACAAGTTTGAAGTTTGAAACTCCCAACTTTTCAATCATCAAAGCACAAACCCCCCTCTCTCTCTCTCTCCACAACTTTACTCTTGCTCTCTACTCTTCACTTTTCTCTCCATCCCGTGCGTCCAACTTTCCAATCTTTCTCTCCTCTTCTCTCATCTCTGCATGTTCTTCTTTTCCAGCCCCTGATCGTTTATTCAGAAACTTCCCAACTTTTCTCCTCCCTTTCTAAACCAGCGGTAGTCTGATTATCTTATCCCGTCTTGCTACGTTGTCCCGGCGAGGAGATCGGGGAATGTTGGTCGCTGTCGTAGCGAATGTCTCCCTCAAGTAACAAAGTTGCCGCTTCTGGGTTCGTTATTCTCTGTTCTTGCTGATCTTACTTCTGAAAAATTGACTTTTACCCTGATGGGTTCGTGATTTTCTGCCACAAAGTTTGCAACTTTGATGCTGGATTGAAAAGGGTTTTGCTTGATTGATTGATTTGCGTTGAGGGGGGAAGGGGAAAAAAAGTCAAGAGGATCGTTTTGGGATAAACTGTGGTTGACTTTTTTGGATTTAGAAAGGTTAACTCTTGGTGGGTTTAGGATTATTATTGTGAATTATGATCAAGCAATTGCTGGGCAAGATTCCTAGGAAGTCGTCTAAATCGGCTGGAAATGGAGAAAACGGAAGGAAGAATGGTAAAAATTCAAAAGCTGTTGCTAATACTGTTTCAAAGGGCAGTAATTTTGGGGTCGATTCTTACATCGGGTATGAACGGTTCAACAATCAGCCTGGTTCAGATTCCGGGCAGAACAATGGAACCATGATTTCAATGAAGCATCAGAATGGCAACCTAGGATTATACTCCTACGAAGTGTTGCCAGGATTCAAAGATGTTCCAAACTCTCAGAAGGAGAGTTTGTTCTTTAGAAAGCTAAAGCTATGCAGCATTGTATTCGACTTCACCGATCCAGCGAAGCACGTTAAGGAAAAGGAGATCAAGCGACAGACATTGCTGGAGCTTGTTGATTATGTCACTTCTGCAAATGGGAAGTTCAGTGAAGCTGTTGTCCAAGAAGTGGTCAAGATGGTATCAGTCAACATGTTCAGGACGCCTAGTCCTCAACCCCGGGAGAATAAAGTTGTGGATGGTGTGGACTTGGAGGAAGAAGAGCCTACGATGGACCTCGCTTGGCCTCATTTGCAAATCGTCTATGAGGTCTTCTTGAGATTCGTGGCATCTTCTGAGACTGATGTCAAGTTGACTAAAAAGTACATTGACCAGGCGTTCGTTCTCAAGTTGTTGGACTTGATTGATTCTGAAGATCCTAGAGAAAGAGAGTACCTCAAGACGATTCTTCATAGGATATATGGGAAATTCATGGTACATCGTCCATTCATAAGGAAATCCATCAACAATGTGTTCTATCAGTTTGTTTTTGAGACCGAGAAGCACAATGGGATAGCTGAGCTTCTGGAGATCTTGGGGAGTATCATTAATGGGTTTGCCTTGCCTCTCAAGGAAGAGCACAAGATGTTCCTCGTTCGTGCTCTAATTCCATTGCATAAGCCGAGGTGCTTGGCGATGTACCACCAGCCTCTGTCTTATTGTATAACACAGTTTGTTGAGAAAGATTGCAAGCTCGCAGATGTTGTGATTAGGGGGTTGTTAAAGTATTGGCCGGTTACTAATAGCTCGAAGGAAGTCATGTTTCTGAATGAGCTTGAGGAGGTACTCGAAGCAACTCAGTCACAGGAATTCCAGCGATGCATGGTTCCTCTTTTTCATCAAATCGCGCGGTGTTTAAGTAGCTCTCACTTTCAGGTAACTGAGTTAGTTCTTTTGGTTTTGGATTGTTGGTGATGTTCCAATGTCTGATGTTGCAAATCAGGAGAGTTTCAGTCTTAATTGTTTAATTAGTTTCAAATTGTTGGTGAAGTTCTAATGTCTGATCTTGCAAATCAGGGGTCCTTTACTCTTAATTGTAGAATTAGTTTCAGATTGTTGGTGATGTTCTAATGTCTGATGTTGCAAATCAGGAGTCTTTCAGTCTTAATTGTTATTTTCAAGCATGTGTTTTGAGTAGAAGCATTGCTTGTATGAATATGATCACCAAAGAAGCAGGAGAGAAACCACAAATAAGTGATCGGTAGGTGCGAGTTGCTTCACGATAAGTTTGCATTGGCTGAAATAGATTTGGGGTCATTAACAAGTTGGTCAGTTGAGTCTGTTTTCTAATGAACTTAATGAAGTTTAAAAGAATGTAACATATCCGTCACTATCTATCTCCATCTCTGGCAAGCTTTTTATGTTGAGATATTTTATATCAGCATCACCAAATCAATAGTCGAAAGTTATCGGGTAGTGGATGAAGAGTAGTTTTCTGAAATCTGTTAGGTAAAGTACTGGGATGGGTTTGGAGATAGTGTTGGTGCAAATGATACAGCTAATCAGGGTCTATAAGGCCATTTTTACCACTAATATGGCTGATCAGGCACACTAACCTGGACAGTTTGGAGGGAAAACCTGACCGCAGTGTATGAGTTCAGCAATGGATTGTGTAATTGATTCGAATGAAACGTAAACCTGGCATTGTTTAATCTTATGAAACTCATGTATATTATACAAAAGCCCATAACCATTGCTTATGATTTCAGGTTGCTGAAAGAGCATTATTCCTGTGGAACAATGATCCAATCGAGAATTTGATCAGACAGAACCGGAAGGTCATTCTGCCCATTCTTTTCCCAGCACTTGAGAGAAATGCAAGGAATCACTGGAACCAAGCTGTCCGTAGCTTGACTTTAAATGTCCGCAAGATATTTGAAGATCTCGATCCTGAGCTCTTCAATGATTGCTTGCTGAAGTTTCAGGAGACTGAGAAGAAGGAAGACGAGACCAAAGCGAGATGGGAAGCCAGATGGAGACGCTTGGAAGAGATGGGTGCTCAGAAAACTGCAGGTAATTACAATACAACAGCCTGCTTTCCTTGGAAACCTTTCTAATTATCAGAGATGTTGTTGTAGTTTGGCGTAACTGTTTGCATGAAAACTTCGTAGGAACTTTTCTTGCTGTGAAATTTCGTTCTTAAGATTGTAACTCCATAAAGGGCCAATTGCAAACAGCTTTGTTAAAAATGTATTGAGAAAAGAATCAGCTTTCTTGAATATCTATCGTTCTTTCGCACCATGCAATGTGTGTAAGCAAGTGGAACACTATGGAAATGCATCAAGCTTTCCGTCCACCTGTATAATCATTGGTTTCTCTTCGTTGTTCATCTTTCAACAGGTAAGTAGAAATGGAAGCTAGCAAGCAATGCTGTTTGAAGGGAAGGACGGGATTCTCGCTATAAACGTGGCAGCCTTTTGCATCGAAAAATGGGGTTCTTCTTCTGCAAGATAGACCTGAGAACCTGACTAGCGGATGAGATAACCGAAATGGTACACCATTGATGACTTGGTGAGGTTTTTTGTCTTTGTATTGGAAGATTGAAGGTGTACTGCTAAACGTGAGAAGCCAGGTCCTTGAAACTACTATGTGGGAAGGGGTTAAGTTGCTGAGACTGTTAGAAGAAAGAATATTTGTATTGGAAAGCTACAAGTTTGGTGCTTTCAATTGCAGAAAAGTGGTGTATGTTGAACTTTAAGTGAGCATTAAGATGTGAAATAGGTTAGTGAGCAGGGGTGTGGATGGATGTATCTTGTCATGCAATGTCACTCGAGTTTGAATTATCAGTTGAAGATTTAAAGAGCAAGATAAGAAACTTGTAGCTGTTTGAGGGTAGTGATGAGGAGGAGACAACAAAAAGGTAAAGAGAAAGAGAAGTAAAAGGCCGGAAGTAGTTTTAGAGTCACTTATTTGAACGGGAAGATTCCAAACAGCTATAGATATTCATTGGCTCTCAGGGCTGCAAATGAGTGAACGGCTCGATACGGGGAAAGTTCATTCGTAACCCGGCTTGTTAGTAAACGAGCCGAGTTTGAGCTCATAATTATTCGGGGCAAGTCAGTTTGACTGAGTGGTTCACCTAGTTCAACATGTGAGTTGGCTCAATAGTGTGTTTAGGGAGCCAAATCGATTAGCGATATATAAGTGAATCAATATATATAATTTATGATGTGACTTCTTAATAATTTATACGTTTGTTAAATTATATATCTTATAATATATGATGATTTCAAACTTTGATTTCGTGACTAAATATTTCGCATTTATAATTTGAAAGATAAATGATGTATTGTAGAAAGCTTAGTTAAAAATTATGAACTAAATTTATTATACTAAGTATATAAACATGGGATCAATTAGTGATGAAATATTTACTATTAATTTTTTTTTCCATTAACCACATGTATCATATATGGCATACAAATATTATGGATCGAGAATCGGTCATCCTTACCTGTTGGGTTTAGTTTGTTTATGGGTAAATTGCAAGTTTGGTTACTGAAATTACTTAAAAAGTTCACGTTTGTCATTAAAATTAATTTATTTCATACGTAGTCATTCAAATTAGTTCAACAGTTCAAGTTTGGTCACTCTTCGATAAGTTTTTCTGACGTGACAGTCAACTCTGTGAGTTGACCGTTAAATAAGTGACATGACAATAAGAAAAATAATAAATTTAATCTTTTAGAAATTCCACCTCCCTTAAAAAAAATATTAAAATAAATAAAACAAAAAAATAAAATTTAATCCTTTATTACTCGGCTACACATTATCAACTACTAAAGGTAGGGGTGGGCGTTCGGTCGGTTCGGTTCAAACCGAACCGAACTACTATATGCCGAGTTTCCAAACTCATCAATACTCCAACCGAATTCGAATCGAAATATATTTCGGTTCGGTTTGTCCGAACCGAAATATATTCCGGTTCGGTTTTAAGACCAACCCCGAAAAATACTTTAGCCTGGCGGACTATGTGTTGAATTGGAGAAATCCCTCCCTCCCATTTCCCAACCCAAGTCCACCCACCCCATCTCTCCATCTCTCTCATTTTCCCCTTCCACTCTCTCTCTCTCTCCCAGTTCTCTCATTTACCCTCTCTCCGTCTCTCTCTCCAATTTTCTACCTCTCCATCTCTCTCTGCAGGGGAGAACACTCCGCCGTCGATGCCGCACTGAGCTCCCTCCGCCACCGAGTTCACCTTCTCCCCAAGTCCGGCTCGCCAAGTCCGCCGCTCACCCATTTTGAGAAGAGGAAGCAATGGCGAAAGACAAGGCAGGGGAAGCATGCAGGGCCTCGTTAGGCCGAGCATGTCGCCCCCGATCCCCTCGTCGCTCATGCAGATCCCGCCTTCGTTCCTTGCCGATCCCCCCGCCGCCGAGATGCCCACCCAGTCTGTTTCCCCGCTGAGCCCTGAGGAGCGCCCAGATGTGCCTTGGATCTAAATCGTGGTGGATCTGAAATTGGCTGCTTGCAGGGACAGTGGGGATGGAGAGATGGCAGCTATTATTTTTGGGTGGTGAGAGCTAGCTTAGGAAAGGGACTGCGCCACAGCGGGTGAGGGTTTGAGGTTCCGCGGCGAGAGACAGAGAGAGCGGTGAGGTGAGTCGTGACTCGTGAGGGACAGAGAGAGAGAGAGAGAGAGAGAGAGAGAGAGAGAGAGAGAGAGAGGCGGACAAGAGATGGGGAGGGATAGGGAATTAGGGATTAGGTTGCTTTAGGGTTATGTTTGATTGGGGTTTTCTGTTGAAAATTGAGAGGTATGGGTTTCGGGGTGGGCTATTGGAAGACAACAGCTGCAAAGGGTTTGGGCTTGGCCCACCCAGTAGCTTTATTATTTCGTTGGGCCAAGGTAGTGGTGGGATTAATTTGGTTGTGTTGCAATTTTTTGATTTTTCAGTTCGGAACTCGGATTTTCGGGTTTGGTTGACAGACCATGTATTCCGAATTAAGAGCCTTTTCCATCCGAATTCTGATCTGAAAAGTGGAAAATTCGATTTCGGTCGGTTCGGATTTCGGTTTGGTTCGGTTCGGAGAGTTAAAACCGAACCGGATGCCCACCCCTAACTAAAGGGAAAACAAACAAACAGGGAAGATTAATTACCGAAAAAATAACAAACAGGGAAGATTTCATAGCCCACGAGGATACGTGATTTCCCCTTTTCTTGTTTCAATCGGAAGGAGCGGAAGCCAATATCTCCTTCTGGTGCGCCCATGTCTCGATGGTGAGATCGAGCTTGGCGTTGAGCCCGACGCCGAGGATGACGATGGTTAAGAAGCTGGTGAGGTAGCAAGGGAGCTCCCAGTCCTCCCCCTTGCGCGAATGCCCGGCGGCGGTGGAGTCCGGTTGAAGTGGTAACCCTTAGGCCGCTCCGCAATAATCGTGCATCTCGTCTCTATAACGAGAACAAGCTCTGGGATTGATCGTCTGCTCTAGTTCTTCTACGCTTTCTGTCGACCAATAGCCGCTTCTCATATCCGGTACCCTAAATCTCTGGTGCTCGTACCCAGTCGTGGGAATTATAGATGAGCCTCAGTTTCGGTACCCCAAATCCAGTGTTCATTGCCTTCTTTCCACCTGATTTGGGAACAGTGGGTGGATCCAGAGGCGGAGGTGAGGGAGGTTTTCACGGGGACAAAGGGCGACGAGTAGGGGGTGTCAGTTCGGGTCGGGTTCGGTTACCCAAACCGAAACCCGAAAACCCAAAACAAAAAATCACTAAAACCAAACCCAAACCTGATAAGGACTTGCGGGTTTCGGTTACCCGAAACCCGAAAATTCCTTTTCGGGTTCGGTTAAAGCAAAACCGAAACCCAAAAATCCGAACGCCTAAAAATACGGGCTGAGTTCTGTTCATTGGAGGTTTTTAGCCGGAACCCGAAAAATCGATAAGCAAAACCGAACCCGAAATCGGAAAACCCAAAACCTGAAACGAACCCGAACCCGAAAAACCGAAAATGTATATAATCGGGTCGGTTTCGGGTAAACCCAAAAAATCGAACCCGAATTGACACCCCTAGCGGCGAGCGGAGTTTGGGGGAGATTTAGAGGTCGACGACAAAGAAAGAATTGGCTGATCGAGTATGAGGAAAAGGTTTTTATTTGGTTATTTGTTTTGTTGGTAGCGAGCAGAGGAAGAAGTGGGCCATCAATTTCCGAACACACTATATTTGTTATTTGCTAAGATGGACTAAATTAAATGGTCAATTTTATGTGATCCATGACTACTCAAGCCCAATATGGGTTCAATGGTTGGAAACCCAATATTTGATCACCTTGAATTTTATGGGAGCCTATGGTGAACTAGTATATAAGGAGTTTGAGGTTGTGATCCCCAATACACCTCTCTTCTTCTCCCCATCAGGAAGATCAGAAGTTTCCCGTTAGTGGACTAAGGAAGCTTGGTTGAGGAAGATCACGCTACCTCCTGGATCGTGCTCTAGGAGTATCGTCCAGTTCCAAATCGTCTTCCAAATTCCGCATCAAGCTCTTGGCGATCAACAACATGAATCCATGTATTCCTATTAACCTTTGATAATCTAACGAGATGTGTTCCGGGGAATTACATAGAATAAAGTAAATTCTAACAAGTGGTATTAGAGCCATTCATCTTTGTTTGATTATTGAGGTTTTTGATATACATGTTTGAGCACTTTGGTTCTATGTTTCTTCCTTATGATTCATTTGGCATGCTTTTATTCTATACAAGGTAGTTTGCTTTATTTGCTATCTCGTATAATTTCTTGTTCATATAAATTAATTTATATGAATTATGAGATGAAAGGAAATTTTTGGTTTCATTTTTATGAATTATGTGAGGAAAGGAAATTAATTTATACGAATTATGTGAGGAAAGGAAATTTAAAATTATTATTATAATTCTCTCTTAAGGGTAATTAATCACTTATTCATAATTTTTTGATTATGTGAGAATTGTCCAGTATTTTAATTAAATTAATTTTAGCAGTATGTTGCCAAAGTAACCTCTACATGCGAAAAATTATTTAACGTAGAAATACATTGATGTACCGTGTGCGTGTAAGGGTATTTTATGTGGGTAGTGATCGACCTAAAGGACAATACTATTTGACCAAAATAATCAAGCACATTAATGGTAAATACGTGATAATTATAAAGCTATTGTTCATGTGAATAACAATCGGTCCAAAGATAGACTGTTGTTTGACAGAACTTATTATCAGTATTTGATCATTGTATTAAGAGTACCGCTCGCAGTTAATTTCTCTGTCCAAAGACTAAGAATTAATGTTGCATTTGGTATCTTATTATGGGTTCCCCAATGTTGGATAATTTTCTTGTCTTGTTTAATTACTTGGCATGATGTATGTTTTCTTTTATCTTCGTATAGTTTTTAGGCTTTGGTATAAATGTTTCTGTCAAAATTAAAGTTAACTCTTTTGCTAATTGGGATGGATCTAAAGACTTTAAAGTAAAATCAAGAAAATTATTCATGATATATAGGCTTTGATCCTACACTTTTATGTGGAACGATCCCTACTCTTCTACTCCGGAAAATCAAAATGAGATTTCATAATAAAAGTAAGGATTGATCCAATTGAGTGTGTGAGGATCATTAAGTGCTCTATTCGGTGAATAATTTAGGAGCTCTTTCACTGAGACAACTATGGGGTTCCCTATAGTAATCGTGGAGTATTTGCCAAACAAGAAAGGATCCAGGAAAAATTGCATATTAGGTTAAGTTGATCCCATAAAGACGCAAGTCAAAGGGATCATAAATGTGTACATCATTAAGATGTCTCATCTTCATCAAACTCAAGTGATTAAGTTAGAGTTGTCTAAAGGCTAACTCGTACACTTGATTTGATTTATCTTCTTCCACACCTTAAGAAAATTTGAGATGAGTTTTAAAATTCACCAAGAAGAGGATAAAAGAAATGAGATAAAATTGCAAGTACTCGTTTAACCTCAAGATTCTCAGTAACAGAACAAATAGAGTGCTAAGGATGTTAAGGCTCATTGAACTATTAAGGAAATGGCGAGGAGTGTAATTATGTTTTTTTTTTGCTTACTAGACTCCATTTGGATAAAAGCCATAAAGATTACAACGTACATCATCAGATAGAATATCCAGAAAGAAGTTAATGTAACCTTATATGAGCAATAAGACACTTGCACATTTAGAGTTGTCCAACTTTGGAAAAACCTTCTAAGGTACAAGAAGGTATAATGGACAAAAGGGTACAATTGACTTATATTTGTCGGTTACTCAAAAATTCTCCAAGCTACAAGTTTTATAATCCCACATCAAGAAGCTTTTGGTTAATGAGAAATGTGAGATTTATTGAGTATGTTGAGTTTTGGTGGAGGAAACATAAGGAATCTAGTTACTGTACAAACTCAACACACTTAAGAAGTGCCATTAAGTATATCCACAAAAGAGAAGATGGACGATTCTAGCTAACAATATCCTTCAAATTCTGAAAAGTGGATTAATGCCATGTGGTGAAGTCATTGAGAGATATAAGGCATGTTGGTCTCTAAAGGCTTTACTCAGAAGGAAAGCATTGACTCATAGAGACTTTCTCTCTGGTATATTTGTAAGACTCCTTTAAGAATATAATGGCAATGGTGGCTCATATAAGCATCTCATTATTGATATCACAATTTTTATCTTGTTATTAACTCATTCAGACTTAGAGACTAATGTTGGAGATAACTGTGTATATCTTAAGTTTAGTGGGAGGAAATTCATTTTCCCATTTTCTACAATATTGATGTTCTACTTTATATTAGAGATATATGCTTAATGCACAAGATCGAGAAATTTCTGAAAAGGAAATTTGAGATAAGGGCTCTTGGTCTCGCCTCTTTTGTATGCCTCTTTTGTATTTGGTATTGAGATACTAAGAGATAAATTCTCAATGTACACTCAATTTCAAAAGAGATGTGTTTTTTTTTTACCAAAACCTGCTTGCTACTTAATAATCAGTGGAAGAAATTACATCAAGCCGCAACTGATCAATAAGAAATATTGGAGGCCTATCAACCCATACAACTGGTGAATCCCAATTCGTTTCACTGTGCGCCATGATATGTGCTGCTTCGTTCGCTTTCCTCCGAACATGCTGCCACTTCCCTGTATCATCATTATTGAGCAACTGTCTAATACTGCAGCATATAACTCCCAGCTCAACATGTAACTTCTCAGCTTCAAACAGCTTATGTACTAGGGTCAAACAATCTGTTTCCAACACCACCTTTGAGTATCCAAATTGTTTTGCCAAAATCAAACCGAACTCTGCCGCCAATGCTTCTGCCGTTTCAGCATCCCAGGTTCCTTCTCTTCTCCGCTGCTGCTAGTAGGAACTCCCCCTTCTCATTTCGGATTACAACACCCAATCCTGCTCCTCCCCCTGCAGTATTCCAACGTCTGTGTTGACTTTGATCCACCCATTCCTTGGTTTAGACCATCCCCGCGTGCTCTCCACTCCTGCCACCTCCTCACCCTTTTGCTGGTGTTGTTGATAGTGATGAAGCAAGCTTTCGGCCCTTGCTACAATGGTAATTTCATCTCCTTTGGTACCATTAAAACAATGGGCATTCCTCTCCTTCCAAAAATACCACATCAGTACACCCCACCCTTCACTAACCTCGTTTCCTGCTGAATTGATCACTTCCGCAACCCATTAGAGACTCGTTCTTCCTTCTGCCTTCTCGAAACAGGCCACGTAATTAGACTGCCTCCATAACCGACAAGTCCAGCTGCATTGCCCGAAGAAGTGATAAAGCACCAGGGGGTGCTTTTGATCAGAATACGCAGCTCACACAAACAATCGAACGATAGATGATGGATAGGTAGAATTCTCGCCACAATCGAGGTGATTAATCGATTGATAAGAGAACTTGCTAAACGATTCTGGAATCCACTCGGAATAGCCTCACAAGGGTCTTGTAATTAGATAAGGAATACACTCAAAGCTAATGACAATGGTAAAACTCTCGAGACGCAACTCAAGAACTCAAACACTCGGTTTGTTATTCAATTCAATCAACTCTACTTTACAACGTGAATTGGAAAGGTATTTAAAGACAATACACCCTAATACAACCCTACAAGAACAAGGAAACTAATTAGAACATGAAAAGGCTAAAGAATTCGTGTAAAACAAGGTAACTTGCTGGCCAAGAAACTGACTTAAAACACAAGCAAGTCTGCCTAGGAAAACAGGCTTCATAGCATCTTTGATCCCTTAGACAATGGTCTTCTAGGTTGATTCGAACTCAACCAATTCCTTGCCTTTGTAGAAGAAAACTTCCTATTTCACCTCCAACTTGAATCAGCCTGAGATCATGCTCCAAACTCCAGATATAGGCCTTCAAAGTTGGTATCTCAAAACAGTTTTCTGCCTTAGCCAAATTTAAGCAGTTTTCCTGTTTTGAGGTAGCCTTTTTATGGGCTTTGAAAGTGACCTTCAAGACATCTCCTTGAGCTCCACAATATACCAATGTAAGGATAAAAACTTTATCTTCAAAACAAGCCCTTGATCTCTCATTTTCATTGAGCCATTTGTGAGATACAAGCTTCCAAAGTAGGCTACCTGAAACTGTTTCAACACTTAGCCAAAAATCAGAATTCTTCAAGTTAGTTGAGATGACTTCTTTGACAAGTAATTTTGAATTGTGGATTGATCCAATTGGGATCATATCAAGAAGTGTATTTGTGTTTCTCGTTCTCCACAAAAGTAACACCTATCCCCCCGTCGAGGATTCTTTGAGCTGAGGTGGTCACCCGTGCTAAAGTATCTCTTGCCAATCTCCACAAAAAGTTTCTCACCTTCTGCGGGACATTTAAAAACCACAGCTTCTTCCACATGTAGCTAAAGGAGACAGTTGAATCTCAACCAGTTTAGTTAATTCTCATCCCAATATAACATTTATGGTTAAGAGTATTTGGCAGATATTTGGGTAATTATTTATGCATGAAATGTTAGAAAGAATCCAACGTATAAGTCATTTACTAAAGACGATAAAAGAATGTATGCTAATTATCGGATCAGATAATTTAGAGATCATTGGGTATTATGATTCTGATGTTATAGAATATCAAAACAGCATGAACTCTATATCATGTTACCTTTTAGTATTGGGAAGATTTTAATGCATATTTTGAGGCTTCCAATTACGGTTGCAAAGTTTTGTAACTAGAATGACATTGGTAAGTCATTAAAGGTTAACAGTGACAATGATTTGATAGTGATACATTATCATTACCACGAATTTCCGAAGTCAAATATATTGACATCAAGCTTCCGGTGGTTAAAGATAAAGTTCAAAATAGACAAGTTTCTATTGAACGTTAAGTAAATGACTAATGCTAGCTTATCCATTAGCCAATGGTTTGACACGTAAAGATTTTTCATGAGCATATTTCTCGCAAGAGTGTTATTCCGGATGGTAACTTGGTTTACTGGAAGTCATTTAAGTAGCTCAATAGATTATGACTACATCAATTCTGCAGAATAAAGTGATGGTTTTCTAGACTATTTTGGAATTTAAATGCCTTCAGTTATACAGTGGTCACATTGTATGAAGGAATTTTTTTGTTGATCTCACTAAGGACTAAAGTAGGACCAGTTGAAAATAGGCATGTTCAAGATCACATTGCATGTAATTTTCATGCCACTCATCCATATTTGATCTATGTCATTGAGTGTATTAGTGTGGTGATCATGGTGGTTTAATCATTATTATATCGTGATTAAAGCCGCGTTGGTTCTATTGCTAATACATGAGATGGACCAGATTGTTAAGGAGTATTCATTGTACGAATAACATACGGTAGCACGCCTAAAGAATTTTGTAATATACGTGTGTGAAAATTTGATAGCCCAAGTGGGAGATTGTTAGGAAATTCATTTCCTAACTTATGTGGGCCATCAATTTCCAAACACACTATATTTTTTATTTGCTAAGATGGGCTAAATTAATTGGTCAATTTTATGTGGCTCATGACTACTCAAGCCCAATATGGGTCCAATAGGTGGAAACCCAATACTTGATCACCTTGGGTTTTATGGGAGCCCATGGTGAACTAGTATATAAGGAGTTTGAGGTTGTGGTCCCCAATACACCAAGACCAACACAACTCTCTTCTTCTCCCCATTAGGAAGATAAGAGGTTTAACGTTAGTGAACTAAAGAGGCTTGGTTGAGGAAGATCACGCTACCTCCTGGATCGTGCTCTAGGAGTATCGTCCAGTTCCAGATCGTCTTCCAGATTCCGAATCAAGCTCTTGGGATCAACAACATGAATCTAGGTATTCCTATTAACCTTTGATAATCTAACGAGATGTGTTCCGGGGAATTACATAGAATAAAGTAAATTCTAATAAGAAGGCGATATAGAAGATGAATGATCAAATCTGGTTGCTTTCTTGCGGCTTGAAGTTGCCGCCTCCTGCAGTTCGCGTAATTGATGTGCTTTTGTAAAGGCATCGATGGCAGGGTAATGCAGGTGTAGCTGCGAGGGATTAGAGATTCAACGTGGTTCTAGTTTGGAGGGCACAACAGGTTAGCAGTAGGACTGCAAATGAGTCGAGCTACTCGCGAGCAACTCGAGGCTCGAAAAGGGAAAAACTCGTTTATTAATGAGCCAAGCTTGAGCTTAGCATTGTTCAGCTCGCGAAGCTAGCTCGACTCGGTGGCTTGTTGAGCTCAACTTGTGAGTTGACTCATTTAGAGCTCATGAGATGTCTCAACATTGTGGTTTGAGGGCCAACTTGATAACCGATTTATGAATGAATCGATCTAATTTAGACTTTCATAATTCATGGGATTGTTAAATTATACATCTCACATCCTGTGAAGTTTAACATGTTGAACATGCAAGAAAATATGCTTTATTTTTAATTCTGTAAAAAATTGTGTAAAAAATTGTTTCGATACTATGAAATAACATGATTTGAACTAGTTAAAATTTATTAACTAAACAATATGACACCTACAAATTATAATATAAGATTAACTAATGTTGAACATTTGATTATTTTTTTATCGTTACATCAATCACGTGTACCATACACGACATACAAAATGAATGTATCAAATACGATCTAAGAATTTAGTAAACAAGTCTAGCTCGAACTCGACTCAGCTCGTTAATAAATGACTCGAGCTCGAGCTCGGCTCATTTACTTCTGAGAGAGAGAGATATATTTTTTGCTGATCGGAGGAGACTTTCTAGGTTCTAGTGACGACGGAGAAGGATTTCTCGACGACAGTGCTAAATTTGTGATGTTTGTTGTTCTATTTTGTAATGTTTGTATCGATTCAGGTTTGTATTGTTTATCATTCTTGTTTGTCATTTTTAGTGACATTTTGTGCGGTTAGTATGCTTTGTACTATTTGTCAGTTTATTTTGTAATGTTTGTAAGCTTTGTTATTTTGTAATGTTTGTCAATTTTTTTTTGTAATGTTTGTAAGCTTTGTTATTTTTGTGCACCATGTTTATCATTTTTGTCAACCATGTTTGTAAGCTTTGTTATTTTTGTGCACCATGTTTATCATTTTTGTCAACCATGTTTGTAATGTTTTTTATGTCTAAAGATCAACCTGATTGACTTTTGGATGAAACTCCTCTATATAGGGATGGAGCCTCCAAAGTTAAACAGGTGTTTTTTCCAGTTTAATTTGTATGGATTGTCGGCCTAGTTTGTCATTTTGTCCACAGTGTTCGTAATGTTTGTATGTCTAAAAAACAACCAGGTTGACTTTGTGACAGAGCCCTCTATATAGGGATGGAGTCTCCAAAGTCAACCTGGTTGTTTTTTATTTTTTGTATGGTTTGTATTGTTTGTCGGTCTAGTTTGTATTGTTTTTACAGTTCATACGTTTGTAAATCTGTTTGTATGTTTTGACGTTGTAGTTTGTATTGTTTGTATGGTTTGTACTAATTCTAAGTCCGGTTTATATACTTCGTAATTTTCCATAATACCCAAACTACCCCTGTCATTAATTAAATAGCCCTTCCCACTTTTAACCGTCAGATTGCTGTGTCCAGGTCTAAAGGCTGGGAGGGACTTAGTCAAGTGACTAAGCACCCCCCCTTAGTCACTGGATCCTCTCTTGTTAGTTGTGAGGGATTAGGGATTCAACGTGGTTCTAGTTTGGAGGGCACAACAGGTTAGGAGTGGTGAAG